AACACGCCCTCTGCTACTACTTCTTGGCTCGAACAACACACTCTCTGTTGAGTAACGATCGAACTATGATTCTACGCCTAGCAACGCGTTCTCTAATAGCAGACAACCTCCGTTGTCCAGTGACATGGTGGTCTAACGTCGTGCCCTTAGCAACGCATTGTCTCAAACCCCTCCCCCTGAGGCAGCCAATCATCATGTGGTGTCTAAACACTCCCCCTAACTACTAATTATGCTATCAACAAAGCATAACTTTGGTATTAGTGTTGCAATTCCCAATTGTCATCTAAGTTACTAGCCAGCATTACAACTACTTTATAATTATAAAGAACAGAAAATATGAACCCCTTCGCGATCTAGTACTTTTCATTCGTAGGAACCATGATGAATTGGGAAGATTGAGGAAATATTGAAAACTTAATATTTGAATGAATATTGTACATCTTATTGAATAAAGCCCTCCAAACCATGTGGTCCTCGGGGATAGAAAGTGTAGGTCTATCGTGAGTCCTTAGGGTAAACATGGGTATAAAAATACGCACCTACCAACATACTTGCTTGTACAATACTTCAATTTTTTTATGGACAATTTCAATTGGAGATTAATGATCCGCATTTCATGCACCGTAATTTCAATTGATCTGGTTCTTAAAGTAGCTAAAGTACTAGGCCTAATGGTTGCCAAAATTCATTGACCTCATTTCCCTGTTCCTAAAGCTATTTTATCTATTTTTTTATTCAGGTGTATCGCTAATTGTCAGGCAACCAGCATTCACGAGATCTTAGATGCCTTTTCTTAAGCTTAATGACCTCAACGCCATTGTTATTTCAGCGGTAAAACTGTAGACAAATATTAGAGACAGGGAGAAATTACGATTGATGGAGCAAAGAATTTCTTTATGGTTGCGAAAACTTTCAGTTATAATCCGAGAGATTAATCTTTTTTCAAGTGTGACATCTAACGTCAATAAAGTTTCTTCCAATAAAACATACGTATTTGGGTTTTCTTGTTGAAATAGCTCAGCTATCTCGTGTGTTTTGAAAATATTTCGATTTTAAGACACCGTGGAAAATATCGAGCGCGCGTAAGCTTGAAATATTGTTAGGTCTCCGATCGTTAGTTAATTTTCCGTAAAAA